CTTGTCTCCCTTCTTGTTGGTCATTGTGTCCGCCTTGTCTCCCTTCTGTTTCCTTTTGTCGCCCCCTTCTTGTTGGTCATGTGGCCGCCTTGTTTCCCTTCTGTCTCCCTTTGTCTCCTGTCTTGTCTCCCTTCTTGGTGGTTAGTGTCCGTCTTGTCCCCCTTCTGTTTCCTTTTGTGCGCCTTCTTGTCTCCCTTCTTGTTGGTCATTGTGTCCACCTTTCTCCCTTCTGTCTCACTTTGTCTCCCGTCTTGTCTCCCTTCTTGGTGGTCACTGTGCCCGTCTCCCTTCTGTTGTCTGCCTTCTTGTCTCCCTGCTTGTTGGTCATTGCGTCCGCCTTGTCTCCCTTCTTGTCTCTCTTTGTCCGCCTTGTCTCCCTTCTGTTTTCTTTTGTCTCCTTTTCTCCCTTTTTGTTGGTCATTGTGTCTGCCTTGTCTCCCTTCTGTCTCCCTTTGTCCCGTCTTGTTGCCCTTTTTGGTGGTCACTGTTTCGTTTTGTCTCCCTTCTTGTCTCCCTGCATTGTGTCCGCATTGTCTCCCTTCTTGTCTCCCTAGTTGTTGGTTTTCTGCCTTCTTGTTGGTCAGTGTGTCCGCCTTGCCTCCCTTCGGTCTCCCTTTGTCTCCGGTCTTGTCTCCCTTCTTGTTGGTCACTGTGTCCGTCTTGTCTCGCTCGTGTCTCCCTTCTTCTATCCTTGTTGTCCCCGGCAAAAAAAGTGCTTATGAATTATATAAATGCTGCAGTACATACATTACATTATATTGCAACAAAACCTGCACTCCCAGCGGCTCCGGACTCCCTCCCTCAGTATGGGTTGGAGGTTATGGTATATCTGTTTGCATCTAGATACCTTGTTCTAAAGCTTATTGCAACATCCTCTTGAACTCTGATGAGGATGCCCCCCACCCAATCTGCGTCCTGCCGATCACCCTCAAAGTAGATTGGGTGCCGGATCTCGCCTTTGAGAGTTCACAAATTGCTGGGCTACAAGAAAAGCCCAGAAAACAACAACACATTCGTCTTCCAATCTATTTAAATAGGTTAGGGTTGTCATTCCACCTAAAGGTCGGTTTCCCCTCTTTCCCCCTATCCGAGCCTGACCGCACGATGGTTGGAACGCCCGTCGCGCAAGGAGGGAAAGGGTAAGAAATGTAGCTTTCAAAGTAGCGGTCGAAGAAATTGTCAGTGACGGACAGTCTGCTTGAGCCTTGCGTTGAACCCACCCACAAGCCCAAGAACTGCTCATCAAAAACAACAAACAAAACAAGCTCTCTGGCCCTGCTCACCCCTCGCACCATTCAAGATTGGGAACTCTGTGAGGCACCAGTCAGGTCAATGCACGACCAGGGGTCCTCCTCTGGGTCTGGGTGAGCGCTGATGGACGAAAACTCCGATCCTGGAATTGATTTGATTTGAAGGCAATGGCAAAATGTTGCTCGATGAAATGTATCTAGTTATGACCTGGTTGAGTAACAAGTTCAACTTCCAGCCAACAACAAAAAATTCAAATGAGGTCTAACGGCAAAATAATGGTCGTTGCCCTGGCAAGCACGCAATTGCCTCCTTGGACTTTTGGTTAAGTTATATATGCATGTAAAGAATAATCCGCACCTCTTTTTCTTTTCGCTCTGCAGCTAGATTGTCAGAATATAACAAAAGTTTGGAGCAAAAAATGATTTCCCAAAAAGAACGAATTGATTATCCCCTCCTTGCCGGTCCACAACACGAGGAAGGGGGCGTTTCCGGATAATCGTCCCCCCTGACCAGGTGGGCCACGCGGCCACACCCCAAACCCTGGCCAGGCCCCGAGGGACACCAGCATTTTTTCTCATCTCTTTGCTGGTTTAGTGGAGGAATGCTTCTTTGCACGTCCCCCAGACCTCGCTTGCGTGAGGTCGGCCTGTTGCTTTGCAACGGCTCAAGTGTCTCAAACTGTCTGAGGTCTGAATTCTGAAAAAAGGTGCGAAAGGGTGCCAAACGTCTCTCAAGTGGTCCTAGTTTCATTTCGGCCAAAATGGCTCGGACTCGTTAAGATACAGGCGTGCAGTTTTCTGGGCCTGCCAACGTCCCAAAATCATCACTCGGTCCAGATTCCCGTGTTGACAGAACCACCATGTGGCTCCGCCACGCCTCAAAGAGTAGGGTCTGAGTTCAAGGGTTTCCAGCTGAAGACTCTCAACGCGTGTTTTAAACCATTTACGCCATCATGCAGGCGTCGGACAAAGCTTCTGGTGGGGCGAAGCTAAAGTCACCCAATGTTGCACATAACGGAGGGCAGTGTCATGACGTATCGACACACTTTCCTGAACTGCTGCGCGTTTACCAGCTTTGGTGAGGCCTAAGGCTATGACAGCATTCCGCAATTTCTTGGAAACCTCTACCCTATTGCGAACTACATCCAACAGCTCCAACAGCTCACCACGCGCAAAATGCCGTAAAAGCACAAAGCTACCATACTATGCAACACCTGCATGTTCAGGGACTGGAGGGGCCAGGGAGATGTCCCCACATCTTGGCATCATGGTCCTGTAAGGAGGCCAGGGTGTCGGCGGCCAGACCACGCCCCTCCCCGTGTTCGGTATTCCATGACTAAAAGATCCAAATGTTCACGACTACTAGGTACATGCAGGCCTTCGGCCTTAAGGAAGGTCAAAATAGCGGGTGAGCGCTTTGTCATAGCGGACTCTTGTGGACGGTTGAACCGTTAACTGCCTTAGTGTTCCTAACTTCTGCCGATCTCTATAGCTCTTCTAGCCTGGGTGCTGCCTTCAAAGGCGACCTTTGGTATGGCGAAACTTGGTTTGTACCGCCCACCGCGACGGACGATCCGCCGGGTTGAGATCGGTACTCACGTACCCCCAGAGGCCAACGACATTGTGAGCTAGTAAGAGCGAGTTTATTCGGCACAAGGTTCTTCTGAGGCGCCTGCTCGAAGTCCTTCCCCTAGTCATGCTGCGCAAACAGACGAGCAAATCCGTGAGGTGCAAAATACGACAATCATGGTTCTGTAATGTTCCAATCTCCACCGGAGACCGGCCAAAGACGCCCTCAACTCGAGGGAATTTATGTGTTCACCCCGACCCAACCATTTCCAACCGGAGACGACCTACCACTTCCACATCTTCGGGTTGATGGTATGTCGCAGTCGTTGATGTCCTTGAACCTCGTCAGGAGTGCTGTTGAGCATCAAGTCTGCCCCCTTTGTGGAAACCAACCGCCCCAGTTGATTAGTTAAGGCCTGCGCAGGTCTCTTGGTTTGAGACTGATCGGGCCGAAGGGGCGACCTCATCAGCCGGGACTGGATGTAGGGATTTCCTTCCAGGTCTAACCGTCCTAGTACTGCTGAAGGAGAAAGAGCAGGGCACAACCCCCGAGGGCCCAAAAGTTGTCTCAATAACCAGACTACCACAGGCACTGACCATCCATTTCCGACCAGGCTGAGGCGTTTGTCGCTGTATTCGGCTTTCTTCCGCTGTGTCTTTGGCACGCACATCTGAGTGTACCCCGCAGGCAATCCCATCATATATTCCCGTTCCAGGATGGAAGGAATCCGATATACACCCTTGCGGTTTACCAAGCAATGCTGAGGGAGATCTTGGTACGGGGGGAATCGATGCTGATCCTGGTCCCTCCTGGTAACCCTATAGATCGGGCAAGACAATTGTTTGTCTCTAAAAAAATTAACTATTTAGATAATTTTTAAAACTATTTTCGAAAGAAATAGTTAATTTTCTTTAACTATTTTTGAGACAATTCTGGGGGGCAATTCAAAAAATTAACCTTCTTTTTAAGGACAATTCTTGGGACAATTCTATAATTTGTAGTTTTTTAAAGACAATTCTTGGTGTCCTTTTTTTTAAAAGTTTGTTTTTTCAGACAGTTTATGGAGTATTTCTTTGTTAAATACATTTTTTGAAACAGTTCCTGGAACAATTCTGCTTGTTAAAGCGACTTTCTTGAGACCATTCTTTCTGTAAGTCTGAATTTCAACCTTGTTCTTTAGACAAGCCATATCAATATTATAGAAAATGTGTTTGGCTGGCCTGCTTTCTGCTTGCATGGCCCAGAAAGAGCAATAATCCTACAACATTGTGCAATAATCCTACCAAATTTTTAAATTGTAATAGTTGAGTCTTTAGTATTTCAATCATTGCAGCAATTCAAAAGCTATCAGCCAGTGGTCCATGAGCTTAGCTCCAGCCATCAAAGGTGGTGTTCCAGCTGCACAATCTTGTGCCATGTGCCGGACCGCCCCCGTGAAATCTTCTTGAGAATAGCACCAGGTCATCCTGGGGTTCAGGGCCCCACTATTCTCAGTGAGGTGCTGCAGCATGTGCATCTTAGATGTCACTTGGAAAATTGGGGGCACATCTTCTTGTGCAAAATGTCGCCACACATGCAAATTCAAATGTGCCATTTGGCAGCATGCCTGGTGAAATGCCTTTGCATCATTTGGAGTGAAAGCCAGGTCAGTGGCAGATTCTGCCATGAGCCTTTCCATTTTGCAGTTTGCTTTGAGCATGGACAGGATTTTTCTGTGAACTTCTGAAGCTGGGTTCATGCGCCTTTCAAACAACACTGTCAATGGCCTGGCAAGGGCCTTGATTTGAGCTGCCTTGCCCCTCATCTTGCCACCATGCTTCTTTCTGAGAAACACGCTAGGCTTCATTTGAAAATAGCAATCCTTGATATTCAGCTCTTTGCACAGAGCTTTCAGTTCTGCCCACAGCTGCTTGGTGTTGTCTTCGACATTGCCAGGCAGCACATAGTGTGTGAGCACAACCAATACTCCAGCCAGTTGGTATTGGTCTGTTCCTACATGCTTGAGGTGCATAAAATCAAGCAATGCACTGAGGCCATACATCTTAGGCATGGCAAACAGTTTGCATTGTGTTTTCTGGCCCCAGCTTCTCCAGCTGTCCAAAGTCCAAACAGTGCTTCGCCAAGGTGCACTTGGGAGAAAATGTGTCCACCTGTTCAATCCTCTTCTTGTGCATTTGCAATGAGCACATGGTCCTGCCAGCACAGACCACCTTGGCAGCCCCAAGGAACCTGCAAAGAAGTCCAAATCGCCCTTCACACCAATGAATTTGGCATGGTATCCAGAAGCCAATGGGGTGTTGGCCCTTTGCCACGCAATGGAACCTGCAGGATACCTTAGGACAAGGAATAGAACGCATGGAACAACAAGCCTATGCAAAGCATGTCAATTGCAACAATAATCCTAAACACATCCTATGCACCAAACTTCTTGGAAGACCAGCTATATGGGCAGATCTCTTTGCCACCAGGCCACTTGTGACCCAAATAGTCACTTTCAGGCCAAAGGCCTGAAGAAAGTGCTGTGAAGCTCCATGACAAAATTTGGAATGGAGTCTCCAGGGTCCCATCTTTGCCAGGCTTGAATTTTTCTCTTGTCATTTTTCTCTTTGGTCAATTTCTCTTCCTTTGCCTTCTTCTTGTCACGTTTCTCCTTGGTCGACTTCTCTTCCTTTTCCTTCTTCTTGCCCTTTGCCTCCTTGGTCACCTTCTCATCTCCTTCTTCCTTTTCCTCAGAGGCAACCACCTTTTCATCATCCTCCAAGGCCAAATGCCCTGTTTCTGCACTTTGCGCTGGCTTCTTTCTTGGCTGAGGCATGGCACTGTATGGTATTTTGCTCTTGCTTGAGCAAGTATTGCTGTTGGAGGATCTAAGCTTACAGCTGCACCCATTAGCTTCCAATAATCCTAACCTCAAAAACTCTGCCAGAAGCAATCCTAGAAGTTTTCCCCAAAACCAGTAATCCTAGAAGTTGCCAAAATAATCCTACACCAAAAAGTCCACAAACTTCAACTGCAAAGAGACAGCTGTCTTTGGAACAAAAACTTTGGTCCATACAATATTGCATTTTGTTTAATAAGTCCAAAAATTCAATTTATATGTGTATTAATTTTTTATTTTTTCC